AGCTCGTACACTTCTGTACATGACGAGAGAGTTCGAGAACGTAGCCGAAATCACCCTGACTGAGGCTGATCTCCAGGCTTCCCAGCATGTCTCAGTCGGCTGGGGTAAGCGAGAGACTCAGTTCCAAGGAAAGAGAGCCAAGGCTCTTAGGGATCCCACGGTACCAGAAAAGGTGGATGAGGGAAAACTAAGCAGCAACGATGATGCTGCTACCACGATCACCTGGCGAGGTGATGGCGCGTACATTGCGGTGAACAGCATCGAAGAAGGCGCCCGCCGTGCCATTCGAGTATACTCAAGAGAAGGTACCCTTGACAGCGTGAGTGAACCTGTCGATGGACTCGAGGGAGCCCTGAGTTGGCGACCATCTGGAAGTCTCATCGCAGGTATTCAACGACTGGATGATCGGATTGATGTTGTCTTCTTCGAACGCAATGGATTACGCCACGGTCAATTTACTCTCCGTCTTACTGAGGAGGAACGACTATCTTGGGGGTCACAAATTCTTCTTTCATGGAACATCGATTCGACTGTGCTTGCCGTTCGCTTCAAAGATCGAGTTCAGCTCTGGACTACAGGCAATTACCACTACTATCTCAAGCAGGAGATCCCCATTATCGCTGACCCGCAACTCTCTCTCCCTTTCTCCTTCGAGTGGCATCAAGAGAAGCCCTTGCGAGTAGTCGCTGGCTCCGCAGACTCTATTCTAGACCTGGAGTTCGCCTTCGATCTCAATCACGGCTCCACTGTTATCCCTAATGATGTCGGTGCTGTCGCTGTGATGGACGGGCAAACCCTCAAATTGACTCCTCTCCGTTTGGCTGGAGTACCACCCCCAATGGCGCATAATGAGTTGAAGCTGGACTCCAACGCCATTGATGTTGCATTCAGCAAGTCTGGCACTAGGATTGCAGTTCTCATGAAAGATAGCTTCTCGATTTTCCTGTGGTCTTTGAAGAGCCGTCCAGTACCCGTACCGATCTTGGAGTCAAGTTACCCGCTATCAGATACCGCTACCAGTCGGCCTAGGCAGATCGCCTTTGTTAACGAGAATGAAGTCTTCGTTCTGAGAGAGTCTGCGCCTAACTCTACATTCATCGAAAAGACTCTGCTGGAGACTCGCGCCACCGAGGTTGTTCATGAGGCGGTTGGTACCCGGTTTTCTTCCATCTCCCCAGGAATCGGTCACAGCTCTTTGTGGGTTTCGCATAAGGCGTACAAGGGTGCTACCTACACGAGCATTTCTACCGACTCCGAGGGATCACTTGAAATTTCTCCCTGGGATGAGAGCCCGAGTGCCGACACCCCTTGGGCTCGTGCTGTGTCCATCTCAGAGGACGAGAAGGTACTGATTTCAATGTCACGAACTGGCACACTCTATGCGAACAAGCGTGTGCTGGCAAAGAACTGCACCTCATTCCTGACAACCCCCTCTCATCTTCTTTTCACAACCTCCCAGCACCTGCTCAAGTTCGTCCACTTGAACCGGGTGGATGAGATGGAAGTCCCAGAAGATACCCCCGAAACAGACGAGAGATGCCGGAGCATTGAGAGAGGCTCGAAACTAGTGTCGGTTATTCCGTCAGTCTTTGCTGTTGTTCTGCAGGCACCTCGTGGAAACATCGAGACAATTTATCCACGTGCTTTGGTGCTGGCGGGTATTCGAACATTCATCGACCAGAAGAAGTACCGATCTGCTTTCCTGGCTTGCCGCAGCCAAATGGTGGATATGAATATTCTACACGACTACGCCCCTCAACAATTCATGGAGAGTGTCCAGCTGTTTATCGAGCAAGTCAAGAAAGTTGACTTCATCGATGACTTCCTCTCTCGTTTAAAGTAAGGAAGAACTGAACTGTGTACGGGAATGTCTACTAACATTATGATTAGGGAGGAGGATGTCTCGCAAACACTTTACAAAGACACATTGAAAATATCCAAGAACGAGTCTGCGGTCGTTGCTCAGCCAGACACTCCAGCTGTGACTTCTGTACCAAAGACAACTAAAGTCAGCAAGGTCAATTCCATCTGCGATGCTTTCCTGGCGGTTCTTCAGAATCGCATGGACACTAATCTACAGAACCTGGTGACAGCACACGTGTGCAAGTCACCTCCTGATCTAGAATCAGGTTTGGAACTGGTCGCGGGATTGCGAGGTATGTCACCTCTCCATCATCCGCAGAGGTTTGGAGCTAACAGCTCCAACAGTTAAAAGCCCAGAGCAGGCAGATGATGCTATTGAGCATATGTGCTTCTTGACCGACGCTTACCGGCTATACTCTCACGCTTTGGGTATTTATGACCTTGAGCTCACTCTCCTCGTTGCCCAACAGGCACAAATGGTAAGCCATCAGATGGAGCTCAATACTGAATCATATCTAATTACCCGGAAAAGGACCCCAGAGAATATCTCCCCTTCCTTCGAAAGCTCCAGCAACTGCCTGAGATTCGACGAAAATTCGAAATCGACAACCACCTTTCTCGATTCGAGAAGGCCCTTAGACATCTCTTTGCACTTGCTGCCCACGACGAAATTGAGGCATACGTCACGAAACACATTCTCTACAAGGAGGCCTTGGAAATCTATAAGTATCAGCCAGAGCAGCAGAGGCAGATCACCCGCCTTTATGCCGAGTACCTTGAAGAGAACTCGAAGCCCAAGGATGCAGCGATCGGTGAGTGACAAGTCAAAGATAAGCTCTAAGATTCCCACTAATGCGATGTATAGCCTACGAATCTCTCGCACAATATGACGAAGCCCGCAAATGCTATAAGCGTGCCCACCTTTGGCGCGAGTCTTTGTACTGCGCAATGATGGCATCTCTACCCGAGACTGATCTTGCTGCTCATACCACAGAGCTGGCAGAGACTCTCGTCGATGAAGTTCGCGACTACGTTTCAGCAGCAGCCATCTACGCCGAGCACCTGCACGATATTACCACCGCGGCCAAGCTCCTCTGCCGCGGCTCGAAGTTCGCCGACGCAGCTCGTCTGCTCACTCTACACGGGAAGAAGGAGATGGTCGAAGAAATCGTGGACTCTGGCCTAGCCGAAGCAATGGGATCCATGACTGACCTCCTCGCCGACTGCAAGAACCAGCTCAACGCTCAAGTGCCACGAGTCGCTGAACTGCGCAAACTTCGCGCCGAAGACCCTCTCGCTTTCTACGGTGGGGACCCAACCGGCGGCGAAGGCGGCGTCGATATCCCAGATAACGTCTCGCTTGCCCCGACTGAGGCATCGACCCTGGCTGGCCGCACCATGTTCACTCGTTATACTAGCAAGACTGGACGGACAGGCTCTTCGCGACAGACGTCCAAGAATCGCCGACGCGAGGAGCGCAAGCGTGCTAAGGGTCGAAAGGGTACTGTTTACGAGGAAGAGTACCTAGTCAACAGTATTAGACGCCTTATCGAACGGGTGAACACAACTATCCCCGAGGCCGAGCTACTCGTCGATGCGCTGCTGCGACGCGGAATGCGCGAGCGTGCCGCTGCTGTCGAGAAAGCATTGGCAGACGTCATGAAGATGTGTGCGGATTGCCGTGATGATGTCTTTGAGGTGCAGAAGATCGAGGCTCCCAAGAACGAGGAGGCTGAGGATGGGGCCTTTGAAGACCCTGGTCTTCCTCTCCGTGGTGCTTCGGCTGTGCTTGCGGAAAGTCTGGATGCCCTTGAGGGTGGGGCGCGTGTGAAAGAACCCCCTGCTCTCAAGGATATGAAAAAGTCTTCTCTCCTGGCCTGAGCTGGATTGGCGGGCCTCTGCTTACATGTTTATGTCTAAAAATGTCGCATGATGATCGATGATTAGTTCTATAGATAAGCGTCCATGGACGATTCTTGAGAGACAGTACATTTTTGTTTTCCTCAACTCCAACTGAGTAGCTAGACAGATCTAGAGGTCGTATATCACCAACCAGCTGAGGACCTTGCAGGGATCTATGGACTACTTCAAGTTCTAGTAGCTGATGGATCAGAGAAGAACTTGCTTGAATGCAAGTGAGTTTCTTGCTATTGGTGAAGATAGTATTCTCCTCACTTCAATCATGATGTTTCCCTACCTAGGTAGTGCCAGCTCGGATGCCTAGACACTCGTTTCCTAGTAGGTCTTCCTTCGAGTCACTGGCAGGCTGACCCTGATAGTTTTCCTTGCTAAAGAAATTGCAAAACTAATAGTACTAGCTTTCATTATTTCTAATATCTACTAGTCGCCACTAGTTAACTACATGTATACCAGACCTCGTAAAAAGCGTATATCTTTGAATATTCAAGTTCTGAAAGTGCAGGAGGGTAATGTCGTTTTTGGAAATTTGGTAAACAAAAGCTAATCCACGTCATCGAGGGTACCTAGGTAGAGCTTCGTTTTTTGTCTCTCTCTCGTGTACTACGACAGCCTCTCTCGACTCCACGCAGCCGAGCATAAAAGGCCCTTCCCTCCCTAGCTAAGAACTGCCTCATATTCAGGAAATTTGAACTTATTCCAACATCACATTGATAATAAGGGCTAGCAATGATACTGGTACGGGCCCAGAATTTCCACTCGTTACAACTTCTAGAAGCCTGCTCACACACAAGCTAGGGACCGAGAGTCTTCCTTGTCTTCGAGATCTCACGATTTGCGAGGCAGAGGAGGGGCTGCGGACGGGGAAATTCACGTCCGTAGACCTTTTCGAGGCATATCTCGAAAGAATTGAGGAGATAAAGCACCTCATGATCGTCATGCATATGGATGAAGATGCCTTGGAAGTGGCGCAGATTTTTGGACAAAGAGCGGGCCGAGAAGGGAAGACGAAGGTATATGGTCGGTCTCATTTGGTCTTTCATTTTTATTGCTTATGTCTCGTGCTGATTGATAGCCCTCTCCATGGAATTCCTATTCTTGTCAAAGATGAGTTCTTGCCGTCTGGGTAGCATAAATTTGTACCCAAAGCCTCCTCTCCGCCGCTTGAATTAAGAAAGAAAAGGGACCCCGTGGAGATTTAAAGACTTCGGGAAGCCGGCATGATAATACTGCGGAGAACTAATTTAGATGATTACTGGGAATATCAGGCTGAGTATGTCAGATTCCGCCTTCGTGATTATATCAATTATTCACCTTTCCCCATCCCCAGCGGTCCCGGTACTTTACCCAGAAGTAGCAAAGGCTCAGCTGTGGCGGCTGCTATAGGTTTATCCGTCGCCAAGCTTGGGACTGCGGTGAGTATCTCTTTATCTTGCTTCTTGCTCGAGAATTCTAATGCCGGTGTATAGGAATCTGATATCATTGCGAGTGCCGCTGATTCCAACCTCGTTGGGTTCAAACCCACAACGCGGTCTATAATGAGGTCTGGCATGTTGAGGCCTTCACCACAGGGAGCACCTACTTTAGGGACCCTTACAAAGACTGTCAAAGATGCTGTTGGGATTATGGCCGGTATATATGAAGAATACGAGCTGAACGAGTGGAGGTCGGTCATTCCATCGGACCAGGCACCCGAATGGTCTGAACTTATTGAAACCTTGGATCTCAGCGAATTTATTATTGGCGTTCCTCGGGATACCTAGGTAACTTTGATTCGGACCCATACCCACAAGTTATGGATTCATTCGAGGCTGCTCTGAAGACTCTAGTCTTGGCTGGAGCAACGATCGTGGATAATCCCAACTTCCAAGGGGCGAAAGAGCTGAAAAACCTGAAGGCACAAGTCAAAAATATTTTCCAATTGACGAAGTTGAAAGAAGACGCTTTCAGATGCCTAACAGGATCGGGGAATGACCCCAGCAACCCTCAGAATGCGCAACGCGTGTATGATACTGTCAGGAGACGCCAAAGCGAGGAGCCCATAGAAAGAGAATTCAATAAGATACTATGCACTCGCACAACCCGTATCCCTGCAGAAGATGAGGAATACACAAAGATACTCGAGAAAGCCCTCATCATCGCAAAGCATCAAGGCATTTCGGCAACTATGAGAGAGCACCACTTCGATATGTTCGTTATTCCATCATCTGATGAGGACATGGCACTCGAGCTTGTTGCGCAGGAGAATGCTCCGGTGATGTCTGTGCCCCTTGGATACTTCCCAGACGGCTTCCAGCCCTGGAGGGTAAATATACCGATGAAATCCGCCCTAAAAGACCGTAAGTATGACTCGACAAAGATTGAGATGTCCTATAGCAATTACTTACTTCATGTAAATATATTTTGTTGTTCATCGGAGGTCCAGTCACCTGTGGACAAGGCTTTGTGGCCTGTGGCTCATGCCTTTGAGCAGTTGACTGCTGTGCGAGGCCAGGAACCAGGCCCCAGAAGGCCGCTCCCGAAAACGGAATTGATAGACGTTCAACCCCTCATCGGCGATATGAGCGAGCTTCAAATCGATCGAACAGAAAAACCTGTCCCCGTTTCCCCTTTCTTGTCCTAGATCTTTGTGTTTACGTCTTGGTAACTTCTATTTGCCATCAACGATTGACTCAAGACTTATGTGGGGGAAGTAATGTTATCTCAAAGAAGATTGATCCTGAGTTTGATGGAAATAACGTCAATTTCACAAATTTGTTTACTGCCGCATGTTTGAACATGTCGACTCGTGGGAATCACGCAGAAAGGAAACAGCAGTTGTTATAAATACTGTATAGATTTTCCCGGCAATTAAGCACATGAATTATAACACAGATGGCCTCGACCTAGAAGCACTACTAACTCGTAGTACCGAGACACGCTTAGGCTGAGAAAATTAGACGGCTAGATACCCTTCTTTGAAGTTACATCGTTCAAAACTTCGCTATCCTCGCTCGTATATTACCAATAGCCTTCGTCACTCTGCCAGTGGGATTCGCTTAGCGATTCTCCTCAATTGTGCAATTTCCATGCCAGCCAGCCCCGTTGGAGAACCGGCGAGCTAGATGTTTCCAGCCGTCGGACCTCCGCCCTTGCATGGATCCCATGGCCAACCCCCTGAAGATAAAACCCCCCACTTGGCGGGATTTCGAGCACAAGATTTGGCGAGTTGGTAGGAGCGGGGTGATAAGTATCTCGCAAGAGCACCAATCCCGACAGTAAATTGCGCGTCGCTAGCAGCCGCTCTGGCCCCGAGTGGAGCGATTCCCAAAAGCTATTCTCCACTGTCCGTTGCTTAGCCTTAAAGCCATGCAAAACCAACTCATGATGCCTGTTGTTTTAGCGCACTCCCCTCACTAAGCCACCTATTAGGCTATCGTCGGCAAATTATTTTGTTATGTCTCATAACCCCATGCAGACACTTCTCCCGCCCAACCCAATCAAGTTCATCCTCCGGGAAATTAGTTGACTGCCTTCAGTATGTTTGGGTAGCGGAGATAGGGACAATGTTGTTTATGAATATGGATAATAAATGGTCCATGTGAGTCCCGTTACATCGCCGGTTTATGTATTTATAGTGTCGTCTGCCCAGGTACCCCGATTGCGTTCTCGCAATTACCGGTGTTTCATGCTACAGTGCTACCTCCAAGTTGCCTTATGATGCTGCTCCATCAGCTCTGTGCCGTTCTGGCCGCTGCAGCACTGTCTGGCGCTGCCCCATCTTCTGTCAAACATGTTTTGCATGAAAAGAGAGATAAAAGCGCATTGGATTGGGTGAAGGGTGATCGGGTTGAAAGTAATGCGATATTGCCCGTGCGCATTGGGTTGACCCAGAATAATCTAGAAAAGGGATATGATTATTTGATGGATGTGTACGCACTCGATGATTAATTCACCAACGCCGAGAAATGAGCGTGCTGATATGTTCATAGATCGAATCCTGACTCCTCTAAATATGGGAATTATTGGTCTGCCGACGAAGTGCATGACATGTTTGCGCCTTCTAGCCAGACAGTCGAAGAGGTCCGCGAATGGCTCCACTCTGTTGGAATTGATCCGTCACGGGTTGTTCATTCAGATAACAAGGGTTGGATCGCATTTGATGCTTATGCTCATGAGGCCGAGAGACTGTTTGTGACGGAGTTCTACGAGCACAAGCATACTGCGAGCCAGAGCACGAAGATTGGCTGCGACGAGTACGTCACAATACCCTCCCAAAGCTAGGCATCCTCCCATGCTGATTATCACCTGCAGGTATCATGTCCCGGGCCATATTCAAGGACACATTGACTACATAACCCCTGGTGTCAAGTTGACTCCCGTATTGAAGAAACACAAGAAAGTCAAACGAGCCTCTCACCTTGCCCACAGCGACCCGATTCTGGAGGGGGTCTCGTTTGAAGAAGCGAAATACTCGATTCCTGCTAAAGCATTGTCTCTTTCTGCAGATCTCCAAGGATGTGGATATAATATGACACCAACCTGTATCAAGGCACTTTACGGAATCCCAGATGCTACCAAGGCTTCCAAGAAGAATTCGCTAGGTCTTTACGAACAGGGAGACTATTTTGCGAAATCAGATCTTGACTTGTTCTTCAAGGCCCACGCTCCCTGGGTCCCCCAGGGTACATACCCCATCCCTGCTTTGATCGATGGAGCCAATTTCTCTGTGCCTTCCTACAGCTCTCTCAACACCGGGGAGTCCAACATTGACATTGACTTGGCGTGAGTCGCTATCTTGAAGTTCATTTCCTCACACAATGCTGACGAACTCCAAGTTATTCATTGATCTATCCTCAATCTGTGACTCTTTATCAGGTGGATGATCAACTTTATGAGCCCGAGGAGGTTGCGACTACCAATCTCTTCAACACCTTCCTTGATGCTCTAGACGGGGTATGCTTATCTTGTGGTTTTCAATTTATTTCAGCACTAACTTATTCACAGTCATATTGTACGTACAGCGCGTATGGAGAGACTGGGAATGACCCCAAAAATTGACCCAGTCTATCCCGACAATCGAGAAGGAGGCTACAAAGGTAAGTCCTAATCTCCAATTGTTACCTTACGTGCCTTGACTGATTCTCGAAGGAAAACTCCAATGCGGCGTCTACAAGCCAACCAACGTCATTAGCGCCTCATATGGTCAATCCGAAGCGGATCTCCCTATCAGCTACACCAAAAGGCAATGTAACGAGTTCATGAAACTCGGTCTCCAGGGCCACTCGATTCTATTCGCATCTGGAGATTACGGCGTCGCATCATTCGCAGGAGACGGCAGTGCCAACGGCTGTTTGGGACCCGAGCAAAAGATTTTCAACCCACAATACCCATCCAACTGTCCCTATGTTACATCAGTCGGGGGAACCATGATATACCCGGATCAAACAGTCGACGACGCCGAGAGTGTAATGCACGCCAATCTCGGGGGCACAGCGACGAATTTCAGTAGTTCGGGCGGTTTCTCGAATTACTTCCCGCAGCCTCATTACCAGAAGGCCACCGTGAAGAAATACTTTGAAAAGGCCGATCTGTCTTACCCATACTACTCGGAATTCAGCGTGGATGTTAATACGACCAAAGGTCTCTACAACAGGATCGGGCGTGCCTACCCGGATGTTTCCGCCAATGGCGCTCGCTTCCCAGCCTATACTGGTGGGAAGGCTCTTCATTATTATGGGGCGAGCTTGGCTTCGCCATTATTTGCTTCGGTTTTGAATTTGGTATGTTCTGTGTTCTTTCCATGGCATGGCCAACTGAATTTTCTGTTACTAAAACTCGGTCCCTAGATTAACGAGGAGCGTATTGCGAAGGGCAAGGGCCCTGTTGGTTTCGTTAACCCTGTGCTTTATGCCCACCCCGAGATTCTTAATGACATTACCAATGGAACAAATGCCGGGTGTGATACAAATGGTTTCAGTGCCATCGAGGGGTGAGTTCGAAACTATCTTATACCTTACCAAGTTCGCCGAGTGGATGGCTGACGAGAGACACAGATGGGACCCCGCCACCGGTCTGGGTACGCCCAACTACCCAAAGATGAAGGAATTCTTTTTGTCTCTGCCATAAAATATGGATCAAATACTAGTAGAGTGAAAGTTGGGCAGAGGTTCTTCCAGAGCTCCAGCGCTGTAAATATGCAGAAATAGGTGTGGATGGTTTAAATAGTCGAGTCTACTACCTAGTACCTAGGTACACCTGGGCATTCGAGTTTAGAAATATAAATTCCTTCAAGTTTCAGGACTACTACCTTGAAGGTATTTACTGCCCCAGTGCTACTAAAGATAAATATAATACGCCCACCGGTACCTCAAACTTGAATTTAATACAAAAGGACCCCCTCCTTGAAGTTCCCATGATCATGATGTCTTAGTCAAGACTTCCATCTCATGAGACAGCGCACCAATGTCTTCCAGCCGGAGAGGGTCGATGCCCTGTACAATCAAATGGCCGGGGTCCAAACCGGGTCACATCGTAGGACCATGCGTGGTCTGATCATCCGGGTCATCTTCGGCCTTTCTTCTCTTAGACCTCACGGCATCTTTGATGTTGTTCTCATCCCCGCTTCCGACCACATTTCCGGGGCTGGCCTCCTCAAATTTTCTTTTCCTTCTGATTCTCTTCCTCGGGATTTCACGAGGCCGGGTGCTCTTTGTCTCTTGGGGTTTGTCTTCAGGGGTTTCCAGGGCTTCGGTGCCGCTTCTGGGTGTAACAGCAGAATCATGGACTATCTTCACCAGCCGGCGTCTGCCGCAAGCTCGAGGGGGATTGTCGGTGCATTCTGTCGTCCTAGATTAGGTTGTGCTGCTTGTCAGTCCGTTTCTCCTACAGGGACGGCGCACAAAAGACCCAGTGCACGCCCTCACATTTCTTTCTCTTTTTCCAGGTTATCAAAGAGGGCATCGATGTCCTCCAGCTTCGTATGTTCGAACTCCTCGAGGTCTAAATGATCGAAGTTGAAACCTAGATAGTCGTTCGGAGTTGCTTCTTGCAGAATCTCGTCGACAATGAGATCCCACTCGGTCTTTTCCTGGTCGGAGGATTCGTGAGACTGGGCGGGGCTAGCCTTCTGGGGAGCCTCATCGAGGTATTTCAAAATTTCAAGTTCCTCATCGCCAGCCAACATTTCGGCAGACTCATCAATTGGATTCAATCGGTGGTGTCGGATTCAGGCTTTAGTGGCTTCAGCACCTAGGCAGAGCAATCTATCATTCAACTTTCTGATTAGTTTTATTTTGCGTCTTCTCCGGGGACACGAATCCAAACCTGAGTCAATATCGGCAGCGATCCATGTCGGAAATTCGAGAAACATAATCGGAGATCGCTGTGTGGGGAAGTTTGGAGGGGATTTGAGGTAGAAGAAGGTGAGAGATAGCGCGAGGAGTTCAGGCACGACGCTACGGTGAGCGCCTGGTGAAGAAGAGACGGAAGGAACGACTAGTAACAAGGCATCCAGACACGCGTGGATGCCATTCAGCTAGGGCAACGACGCGATAGTAAAACCTCAGTTTATTACGTGAATGGGGAAGGAACGAATGCTGCAACTTCAGTTTGCCCTTCAAGAAACCATCCCTGGATTATCAAAAATACCAGCTTGAAAGTTCCTGTGAAATCTTTTTGATTTCAAGTGCAAATCCAGGTGATCCACCCTACGATGAGACGTAGTTTCTAAGGGAATATTATGGAGCATATTATTCATGAGGCGCTTATACTACTCTGTTGATAATTGAAGGTGGTTTCAGGTTTTTACTATCCTGGTTTGCTTTTCTTGTGTTGCTTTATAGTATCTTTGCTTTAGTCTCCGTGCTTTGATCTACCTGCTTTGGGCTCTCTCTTTTGGTCGCTGAATGCGGGTTACTTCAGTCTGTTAATACACGTTCAGTTTTATTTGCTCTGCTAGAATTACTTCCTTCAGATGAACAGTCTCAGTGATTCTATTTCAAACATCTAAGGGGCAACATGGCAGCGGTTATCCGGAATTTCCTGGTTCGTACCTAAGTATGGATTCTATTTCGTCATGTATCACTCTGCAACTGGGAACCCATACCCAACCATCAGCGCTGGCTCCTCAATATTGTGGTGTTGATAGCTATCTCGTAGTCAGAATTATATTCGCAGCTGCAGTTGGCAATAGGAAAGGATGCAAGTAACTTACCTCAGCACACCAACCGCGCCAGGATCAAGCATCAGAGAAAGGGGGAACTCCATCGGGTACCCAAGCCATCGCTTGGTGAAAGCTCGCAGAAGGTGTCCATGGGCAACAAGAACAACGTCGGAAGGATTCTCGCCGTGCATGCTATCCTTTTGGAATGCACGAATCTCCCGGATCAAATCATCAATGCGGTCGGTAACCTGCTGAGAAGACCTACAGAATTCTGTTAACAAATACACTCACAGTTTCCAAAAAAAAAGGTGACTCTTACTCTCCGCCTTCACAGCCATCGCGCCAGATATCCCATGGGCGCTCAGAATCCAGCCCGCGCTCCTTTCGCAGCGCACGGATCTCACGCGTCAAAAGACCTTCGTAGTCTCCATAGGTCCATTCAGCCAGTCTATCCGTCTCCGAAACCTTTTGCGCATCATTCAGAGCCTTCTTATCAGCATCAGAGAAGGCAATGTCAAAGGTCTGCTTGGCCCGATTGCGGGGGCTGATGTAGACATGGGCGAGGTTGACGGGGTCAATCAGTTTTCCGGATCCAACAATCATCTTTCCGGAAGCTTGAACCTGCTGCTGGCCATCTTTGGTGAGATCCAGCTCAGTCACGCCGGTATACTGGCCACTCTGAGACCACACCGTTTGTCCTGTGGCGAGTTAGCCATAATTTCAACGGAAACTTGGCCCGAGTATGACCGGATACCTACCGTGACGGTATAGGAAAACACGGGGAGTGCCGGCGTCTTGTCCAGGCATTTTAACGATAGATTATATGCACTTTTTTCAGATGGTTGTCAAGGAATCCTGGTCCCCGAGTTGTTGATGGAATGGGGTAGTGGGGGAGGGCCGACTGAGACGAAAAGTATTTCCACCGCCCCGATTCGTTGACCCTCTCTCTCTCTACCCTCACCGAGCACCCACTTTCATTTTCGAAGACACCCAATATTCTCATATTATTGACGCGTATCAAAATAAATAAATTCAAGCATATGGGCGCCAAGTTACTCGCGATGGTAGTGACCGACATAGCCGACCGCGAAGAATGACTTCAGGATGCAATGGATAAATATTACTAGCAGCTTCAAGTTGAGATTAAAATCATTTTCAATTGTCTATGTCGGCAGTCTGATAAAGTCTAGAACTTATATACTTGGTCCTTCTCAAACCCCAATCTACTCAAGATACCCGGTGCACTGCGAGACCCAACCAAAGAGTTCTCCATTCCAGGCGGACCGCAGACAAAGACATGAGTATCCTTTCCAGAGCCCCGCATCACCTCTTTCAGAAGCTCTTCCGTCACATAGCCCTTACGAAGACCGGAACCTTCATCTTTAGGGTGACTGACAGTATAAACGTATTCGAAACGATCTGGGAACTGCTTTCTGTATTGCTCGAGCTCATCCCTGAGAAGAAGATCTTGCTCGGTATTCACGCCGAACACAAGATTAATCTTGGTCTTATCCTCTGGGTTGTTGAGAATGCCCTGGACAAGTTGGTATATGGGTGTGATTCCTGCACCACCCGCGACCAAATAGACCTGGGAGAATTTATTTGGCGTCCACGAATATCCCTTCAGAGCCGCCATGAAGGTGAGTGTGTCACCAGGCGCGAGTGAATGGAGATGGCTACTAGCTTTTCCGTTTGGGTATTTTTTCACCATCAGTTCCAAAGAACCTTCTTTCTCTAGAGATATCTGTCGTTAGGGATGATGAGGAAGTCGATGGGACTCAAGGGTCTCTTACCAAGATTGCTGATAGGTGTGTATGGGCGGAGGACTGGTAGCCATCGGCCCTGTGGCCATGAAAATGTAAGAAGGGCCGCTACCGTGGTGTTAGTAATGTGATGAAGTAGTGAGCTGCTGCGAGCAAAAACTCACAGGTCAATGTTAGGCCACTCTTGGCATTTTGATCTGGAAACTCGAAAACCAAGCGCTTGGTGTTGTGATTGACCTGGTCGACGCTCTGGAGGCGCAGGGTCTTAGGACCAAAGCCACCAAAAACCTTTGGCGCCTCTATTGACTCTGCATGGCCTGATGGGAGCAACGATCGTGTGCCATAGTATGTACCAGCTCCTGCAACTGCAACGGCGGAGATGATCGCTGGTCTAGACTTCAGCGTATGCCATACAACTCGTGAAGAAGCCATAGATGATGTATTGTATCAGACAAGGAGTTTCGAAATAATTCGAAGGTGTTATGGGGCAATACTAAGTCATGAAGATGATAAGGGTGTACTGGTAATTATATAGCGCCGGCACCCGGGGAAGCTGAGATCATATGCCTTTATGGTAGCACAGTAAGGCAACCAACCCGCGGGTAAAATGTGATCCTATCAGAGTCCGGCAAAAACCGCCCCAAACCCCGATGAAAGCTCAAAGCTCAAGTCGCCGTTCGCATCAATCGACCCGATCGGAATGTCGGGCCATGGAGCCTCCGGCCGCCGACCATCTCCACCACGTCCATTATAGAAGCTCTGACCTTTCCATGCTCTCGGTTTTTACCTTCGGGTAGAAGACATTTCTGTCCGAATCTAAAAAAAAATCGTCGGACAGAGTTCGGTTACAGCAAACCAAGTTTTTTTTTTCAATATTTGACTGTAATATCCCCAAGTCTGCACGTTCTAACAATGACAAGCAGTTTCTCCGAAGCTAGGTTGGAGAAAATTGATGTTGAATAATCGAAACAATCTTGAAAAGGGAAAACTCAATTTGGAACACCCCTCAGCCCCCTATGTGACTTCTCAAGAGGCCTGACACCTCGGTGTGGCCTGCTCGGATTGCGAAGTCTAGCGCCGAACTGCCATCTTTATCAGTCGCTACCACATCAGCGCCATTCAAGATTAAAACCGACGTCAATTCGATATTCCCATTCCAGGCAGACCATATCAGGGGTGTCCATCCAGCTATGTCAAAAGCAGACGGATTAGCACCCCTATCGAGGAATAGTTTTGCTAGTTCAAGGCTGTCGAAGCGTGCTGCTAGGTGCAGCTCCGTGTCACCGCCGGAATTTCGAGAAGGAACGATTGCTCCTGCTAGCATCAAGCGCTTTGCGATGGCTACATACTGCCGTGTGGTAGCGTACCAAAGTGGTGTCATTCCAGCTGCATTTGCCAAAGAGACGGTCGCATTTGCTTCTAACAAGCGGTTCACGGCCATCTCTTTTCCTCGAGAGCTCGCCAAATGAAGCGCGGTCTCTCCCAAACTATTTCGCGCGTTGACGTTTGTCCCTTGTTGAATGAGAAAGGATATCGTTTCGTCGTCGCTATAGCGAGAGGCATATATCAGAGGGGTGTTCTTGTCATCATCGTGGGCCTCAAGGAGGTATTTGTGCCCACGATCCACAAGTAAAATCCGGAGTATGTCTTTGAATCCATTCAAAGAAGCAACGTGGATTGCCGACATCCGCTTGCGACAGCATACTTTCAAGTCGATTTGCAAATTATCCTGCAGGATTTTCATGGCAAGAGTTTTATTTCGCTGGGTTAATGCGCAAAGAAATCGGTAGCCAGCAATCTGAGGTCGCAGAAGTTCGAAGTTGTTCTTGTTGACGCAGCCTAGTCTGAGGAGATCATCTTGATCTAATTGTTCGGCAATACATACACGTATCTCGGGCGGCAGCGTTGCAAAGGATAGACAAGCCATGGTTCTAGCCAGTCACTATTTTTGCTTTGAACGGAACTGATACCAAGAAACTTAGGCCCGTTGCACAAACAGAACACAGTAATCCGTGGAGTATAATTGATCTTACCTACGAACCACTTGGGGTAGAGGGGACGCTTCACATGACTTCACCGCCAATTTTAGTTTGGCCCAATATTTGGTGTAACAATGGAATCCTTTTGCGTTGATCTGATTCAGGATCATTCTTGTGATTGGATCCGTTTTGGGCCGACCCAAATAAGGCTCAGAATCCCCCTTGCCTTGCTAGCAACGGGATTATCAACGCTAGCGAAAAGATAGTCAAGCTGAAGTGGAGTTAACCCAAGATTTAGGCTCATGTATTTTTCAACCCACGCCATATAAGATTGAATCGAGTAGAACGAGCTCTTCACTCATCCCCGACAACTTGGAGCGCCAATAGACAAGACTGGATAACCGAAGCCCATCGACGGAGCGCGCTGTAAAGCCATGCCGTATTTTATTTGACAAGGTCCACATTCCCAATTTATTGGAGCAATGAGTATCACAATTAATTGAGGCTCTGCCCCAGGCTTTCAGAATGTTAAATTTCCCCGTTAGACCGCACGAGATGTGGCCAATTCCAATCGTTTTATGTGACAATCAAGGTCCCGAGGGAGATCCCAGAGTCCGGCAAAGACCGCCCAAAGCCCGCTAAAGGCCGATCAATACTTTTAAGTGGAGCTTTACCGGCGGATCTCACCGGAATGTCGGTCATTGAGCGCCCCGACAATCAACCATCTCCACCACGCCGATCATACCATCATAACTCTACCCTAGAACTTATTTAAATCAGTGGTGGCTGTCTTCGTATATCTTTCTAGTTTGCTCGATTTTTTTAACCCCGCCAGACTGATTTCCTCCGAAAAAATGGCATCATATCCCATTGGTTTCCGTGTCGCGCAGGCTGTCGGCATCTCAGGCGCAGCATGGCTAGCAGGTAGGTGGCTCTATCATAATTACAGACCTTCATCTAACGCTCAACTTGCAGGAAATATCGCAGCACTTAGCACTATTACCACACCTGCTCTCGTTAAATCGCAAAAAGAAGACAACCCTCCCATTGGGCTGCTGGCCAAACAATGGAGGAATGTGTATGAAAATGGAAAATCAAAGAACCAGCCCGTTGCAGTTGGCGTGACTTCTGCATTCATCTATCTTGCTTGGTCTGTTCGATCAGGCAGTCCCTTATTCCAGAAGGCTCCCATCAGCAGATCCGTGCTTTTCTCCGCGGCAGCTGCTCTGACGATGAGCATCGTCCCATTTACGTTTGTTGCAATGTCAGGCACAAACAACAAGCTCTTGGAAAAGAGCGAATCAACAAAAGAGGCTTCTGATGCAGATACGGTGGATCTTGTTGAGCGCTGGACAACTCTCAATCAAATCAGAGGACTTCTTCCTTTGATTGGGGCGTTGTGTGGTATGCTTGGTACTTTGTTGTAAGCATGAGAGATGGGAAAGAGTATTAATATTTAATCTACACTCTTAAAAAGTTAGCTACACCTTTGTAGATATATTGATGCCCACATGGTCTAAATATGAACCGTATACCTAGGTATGCAAATGTAATGCCAAAACGCATACGGAAGCGTGTATGAGAAAACGAAATACCACTACTTGAAGTTATGGAAAAAGCGAAATCTGCAGAGACAGGTCCCCGATGTTGCACCCCGAATTGAAACAGAACGTACGGAGTACTAGAAACGACAAGGTGAGTACACATGAGAAGATTGTTACACGGCAATTTCAACAGTCTATGAATTAAAAATCCATTTGTGGCAGTCGTACGTATTTTTATAGTTTCAAGATAACAAGATCATTTGTTTACAGAGGTTCTGAGAGAGTGAAGTCGTACCGCAGAAGAGACGTCGGCAATTTGTCCTTGTCAAATGCCCCAGTTTCTGTGACTCAGAAAAATTCATATCTCTAGGTTGACCCCAGTTGCAAAATGTTCTCTTTCAGATGCCATATTCTCTGTACCGTACTCGGAGCGAATCGTGGTCTAGTACACCATCTTCGACAACTCGTAGGTGAAGATCTCGAATTTTAAAGTATAGGATCTAGTATTCATACTTTCCTTGTAGGATATGAAATTATTCACGGACGGCCTACTCGGCATTTCCCTCCTGGGGTTGCACATCACACCATCATCGTCAGCTCTGGTGGTGAAATGTCACTGCGCTGGAAGTCATAATAACACTGTTCGAGTTTGCAATGATATCGCGGAGCCATATTGAATTACTCTAGCTGTGGATTTCAAGGGTGCTGCGTTTCTGGTACCCAGCAGAAACGATTCATTAACAGATGTCGTCGACTTGGATATGGGTTTACCCAGTGTGATGACTGCTCTCCTTGTTCAGGTGACTGATTTTCGAGTACTGCCAGCGGTGCTATCTTGAAAATTGGAAGTATTGAGACTGTGACTCAGACTGCGGTCGGCTCAGGCTGGGATTTATTTGAGGGAATGGATTCAGTTGCCACAACGGTTATTACTACGGTATTCTATCGAGGTTCTGGCGGATAATTCAACACTACTAGTAACCTTGGAAGCGACTCGGAAGATGGCCCTTCGTTTGAGACACCAACTGTTACTAGCACACTAGTATGCAGTAAGTTATGTTTAACCCGTTGAAAGTCATTTGATATTAATTCGAGTCTAAGTTGGCCTTTCTTGTGAGGCTTCAAATATATTATGCAACGAAATATGTTCCTGATAGAGATCTGGTGAACAAGAATTGAAATAACGAAAATTGATCCGTATCATCTTTGCAACGACTCGATTGGAATTCACCCTTTTCAAAAGGGGATTGGGGTATAGTCGAAGTCATTTTAAGCAAGGTCGCTGTGCATCATAAGCCATCTTCGATCTTCTAGTTGTTGACCATCTCGCCAGTCTCGGTCACAAGGTGATCCTCAACACTGACGGGGCCCTCTCCGACACCGGTCAAGATAACACGGCTAACGCCATCCTTCAGGCCAGACACGACGCGAGAGTCGATTTGGTCCAGAGAGACACCAGGGCCAACGTTGGCCAGCTTCTCATAGAAGGGGCCCTCCCAGCCAGTGGCGCTGGCACCGATGATAGACTTGACGGTGCCGGCAACGAGCTCCTCGTCCTTTTCCTCGTAGTAAATGACGGCGTTAGGGCCTGCATCGAAAGTGTAGGCAGCAACAGTGCGGCCAACAGCGTTGTTAATGTCGTGCACAAGGCGAACGGCAGCACGGGAGACATCGTTCATGTAGAAGATAGGAGGCCACGAGTCAAGGCAGGTGGCGTGGAAAGTGTTGGAATCGCGCATAGTAATCTCGGCGAACTTAGGGAAGTCACGAGCCTGGATGGCAGCCTCAATGGCGGTCATACGCTCGGGGACAACGTTCTTGGCACGGTGGTCGAAGAGGTCGGAGGTGTGAACGGTAGTCTGCATGCCCTCAGTGCTGGGGACGTCCTTCTTCTCGGCGCTGACAACGAGGATCAGAGCCCGCATCTCAGGCCAGTGAGAGGCGGGGGCGACCTCCTCGGCCAGGCTGTCACTGCCGTCAGCGAGCTCACCAGTGCGCCACGCGACATAGCCACCCATCAAGGACCGACAGGCAGAGCCCGAACCCTGTCGCGCAATGCGGCTCAGCTCACGCGCAGACTGAGGAAGCGAGTAGAGATCAGCGACGGCCCGGACAAGGGCAGCGAAGCCGGCAGCAGAGCTGGCAAGACCAGCAGCGGTGGGGAAGTTGTTCTCGGAGACAATGCGGAGAGGCAGAGTCGAAAGCTTGGGGAGGGAAGCATCGCCATCCTCGAGGGACTTTCGGAGGGCACGGAGGTTGGAGATACAGGCGAGAGTACGCTTGGAGGACTGAATCTCCTGGGGCTTGCCATTGAGGTTCAGGGTATCCTCAGCGGGGTATTTGGCAGAGCAAGAAGCGGTGGTCAGGGTGCGAAGAGAGCGCTGCGAGAGAGTGACGGAGAGTGACGAGTTGGTGGGGAGGTTGAGAGTAACATCACGCTTGCCCCAGTACCTTTTCAATTCATATTGATTAGTCTATTTTCATTTTCGTTTTCGTTTTCATATGTATTTGCATTGAAATTCCATGTTTGACTGCCAGATACCTGCAGATGAGGGGCAGGGTTGACATACTTGATGACCGCAATGTTAACAGGGGCGGTGGTGGTGGCCCGGTAAACGGACTGGTTAGAAGTAGAGGCCATCACGAATAGAAGAAAATTGAGTGAGAGATATCACAGAATCAATTATGAAAAGGAAAAGGAAAAGGGGGGGGGGGACTGGCAAACAAATCTATTGATTATGGGGTTGGCGGTCAAGTTTATTTAGGGGCGGCCAACAAGGCGGTGAGGGCAAATTTATTCCAGAGTGGATGTGCATCTTTACTACTGTCCCACTGGTACTTTGGATTAGCAATCCACTCTGCATCTTCACATCCAACATGGGCGTCGGCGCAAGTACCCCATCTGCTCCTGCAGAACCCCCTGCAGCGGTAGCAACTTGCCCTGTCGATCACAAGACCCGTGAGGTCTGGTTACAACAGAATGGCAACGCGCCTCATCCCCCGTCTTCGCCCGATCAGTCCCAAGCCGCGACAAAACACCAAAGACCATTATCGACAGATCGAGAAATTAGCACAATCCCGCGGGCCGGTGATCAGCAAGCAGGACAAGCCGGTCCCGAGGGAAATAAGAAACCTCAAACTCCATACGAAGCCGCAAACGCCGCGTCGCATGGCTTGCCTTCCAATGCCGAATCCGAGACTGGCCATGACGAGGCTAGTGGTAACTGGATCTATCCCTCCGAGAAGCAGTTCTTCGAAGCCCTGATGCGCAAGGGCAATACACCTGGATCTACGACCTCGGCCTCCGAATTGGCCACCTCTGTCGCCTCAATCATCCCCATTCACAATGCTGTTAATGAACGTGCCTGGAAACAGATTCTTGACTGGGAAGGCAAGGTCCCGTCCTCCGATCCAGGCAGCAAGAAGTGCGGTGGCCCTAAGCTATATTCATTCCGTGGACTCGGAGTCGATCCTCAATTCTTGAGCCCCCGGGCTCGATTTAACGGAATCCTCGGATATCAATTGCCCTTCGATCGTCATGATTGGGTTGTTGAGCGCTGCGATGGAGAGCGTATCGAATATGTCATCGATTTCTACCAAGGGAAAACTACGGGCAGCAATGGTAACCCGGCCGGGTTGGCAGGAAACGCGGGCCCTGGAAAGCTGAGCTTCTATCTGGATGTTCGACCTAAGTTGAACAGCTATGAAGGTTGGAAGATGAGATTCTGTCAGTATGTGGGGCTCTGACGAAATCGCACGCGTTTTCACGACAGGGACGTACTCCCGAAGTCCCTTCAAGACATTTTTAACGGCGAACATGGAGCATAGCTAGGGCTTTAAAGGGCAACTGTATAATATGTATCACAATTTTGTACATTAGTAGTATCACATTAGAGGATCGAGGATCTTGAAGGAATTGATGTTCTCCATTCCACTTATGCCTACTATTCAATTCAATCAGGCTAAAACGAAGCCATGGTCTCAGCAGGGGCAGGAAATGATCACAGGGAGTTTGGTGCGACTAAAAAATAATACATCAGGGATATCGTGTGCAGACAGACATAAAGAACCAAGGTAAAGCGCCAAGTATCAAAAAAGCAGCTAGGGAAAAGCCACGCAGAAGATATCTATCCGATCACGACTGCCAGGATGATGATAGTAAGAATGACCCCCAAAATGAGCAAAAGGCATACTGCTGTCGACCTCGCTCGCTTTTGATGGCGACTGGCGCCACGTAATTCATAATTCGCGCCACGGGTATCCTGATTGACGTTCTCAACGTTGTCGCTGATGATGTCCAGTTGGCCTCCTTGCTCCGACACTATATGAGCCACATCTCTGAAGAGTTCGTTCAACTCTCCCACGGATTGTTCGATATTTCGGATCTCGGTCTCTCTTTCAATGATCAGGGATTCTTGAAAATCGACCTCGTCCTGGTTAGCGAGTTGGGGAGTCTCCTGCAGCTGCTGTTGCTGCTGTAGTTGAACATCGGTATTATCATGTGCGTGTTCGCCATCTTCAATAGCAGTGCGTGCTGCAACTGCAGATGCTCGCTGTTTCTCCAGTGCACGACGCTGAACGGTCTGGAATTCATCTAGGCCGGCTTTGAAATCGGATGATAGCTTTTGCTGTTTGTATTTTTGCAATGGCTGGAGTTTTCATCCGTCAGCTATAAAATTTTGTCAAGTTATAGTGTGGAACCGCTGAAACCTACGTTAACATCCTCCCATGTTTGGATCTTCTTGAACCCGTCTCCAACATCCTTGAATCCCGTCCGAGTCTCCTCCAGCATATTGTGTACCCGTTCCCGCACACGCTCGGTATCCCGCTTTGTTCCAAGCAGGCTGATTTGGTGGGTTAGGCGAGCAGTGTTTGAATTCAATGTGAACAACTGGTCGGAGAGCGACTCAGCCAGCTGATCGAAGCCGGGGTCATCGCGGTACTGGGCATCTTCGGATCTAGAGAACCCGCTCTGGGCCTCGAGGGAGTTTAAACGATCGAAAGACATATTGTTGGAGTGATGCAAAAGAGGGAAAGACAAGTAAAGTAGGTGTACAAAATCGAGGGAAGATGCGCCCTGCTCCGGGAACTGCAGGCACCACCTCCTCTCCTCACATGACGTTATCTGTCGGACTAGTCCCAGATAGGCTAGCCCGGACATTGTACAATCGCTCTGCCACAACTAGGCGGTAAGCCACATGTCACATGACAGATATGGCTGGTGTGTTTTGATACCTCAAAATATTCCATTATCTCATGGACTCGGCTTGACCACCTATCGGCGCAACAACACACACTCTCTCTCCCTGTTCGGCCCCTTTCCACCGCCATCGCCGTCGCTGGATTTATCGCCCTCTTCTGCAGCTTCTGCAACTCTTCAGAGGCTCATTCGGACCATGCTTTAAGCCTTGTCGCAACCACCTTCCTTTCGACTAATACCCATCCCACTCCAGCTCTCTCACCATGGCCCCCGCACAACCCCGACCATACCGTCGGATATTGACGTCCGCGTTACATCGACGCTTCGTACATGCATCTGCACTTTCTCTCTTGATTTGCTACGCTATTGCAATTTCAATTGGTCACACATCATCCTGTGAGTGTCGAGGCGTCGCTCGGGGCAACCTGGGTGTTTCTTCTGTCCCTCATATCTAACATTTCTGAATGACCAAGTTCTCTGGGCATGGTTTCCCCTCGGCTCGTGCGGTATTCGCACTCTCATGCTCTTTATTTCATCCCTTTCCATCTTTGTCCTCCGCGTCGGTCAACTTCACATCGGCTCCAGAACGGCTAAATCATCGCTTGGGACCTTTCAATACCTCTTCCCCTGCAAATTGCTCAAACATTTGGCTGGTATATTTTCTCCGCATGGATCTTCACCGAAATTTATCTCTGGTCATCACCAGCTAGTGCGGAGCTTGAAATGGTGAAACGGGGCAGGTAGGCTAAGATAGATCACGAAGATTGACACCACGCAGAAATTGACTCAATGCAGAATTCACGAGCGACCCACATTGAACGAGCGACCCATCTACATTCACACCTATCACTTACTTCTTGCCTGCACACAGGCAGTATTCCACCTGTACTGCGACTATGACCGTGTCCCCATACCTGTGGCCAAGCGAACACTCGAAAATGGCGATAAACGCACCCACCCTGTGCCTCCGACTCTGGCATACATCCAAAGTGCCCTCCCTCCAATGATCGCAACCGGATTAACAAGAAGTGCAGCCGTCGCTGCTTTGCTTCCCGTGGTCTACCCTCTGTTCTTCCGCCAGGCCGCATGGAGCTGGTCATTATACTTCGCGAAGCTGTTTTGGAACTTCTCCCGGTCATCTGCGCAGCCTAGTACTCTCCTGCTGACCCCGAGCTTTGTTCCTCTACTCATTCGGACCTTCTTCTCGGGCTCGTTCCTAGTTCTGCTCTGGCAGTCGACCAACGTTTTCTTCTCGGTATTTATCGGCAAGGAACCATTGAAGCGCGGCCAGCCTCTTACCGCTGAAGCCAAAGACCCCAACGGCAGTCTTATCACTGGCTTGAAAGCCAAGAAGGAAGTCGCGAAAGCTTTCGCCTTCTGGGAGCTCAGTCTTATCAGCCAGACTCTGCCCGAGCGTCGCAAGACAATCTTCAACGAGATTGATCGCGAAGGTGGTTCCAGCTGGTCTCAAATTGTCAGTTCTCTGACTGGTGTGATCAAGGCTATCCCGGACAGAATTTCAGCAAGCAAGGCCCCTGCCCCAGGCGCTAAGCCACCAGCGCAAACCTCGCAGCCTGTTCTCCAGACTCTTCCCAAATTGACGGAAGCACCCAAGACCGGCAACATCTTCGCAGATGCTCCTAAGGCAACCTCCCGGACAGACAAGTTTGGCGCCTCTTTTGGCTCGGCAGTCAAGTCCTATGGTCAGTCTGCTGATTGGACTCCTATGGCGCGAGCTCGTGCTCGCCAAGTCTTTGACCAAGCCTCATCCGCCATGCTCAGCCCTGAGCGAAAACAAAAACTCATCGCTACCTCGAAGGAGTTGAAGCTACTCACAGGTGGTCCTTCTGTCACTTACAAGCCCGAAGATGTCCACCCAATCATTGCTCAGTTCCTCCGTTCACCAATTGGCCAGCCTCTGCGTCAAACCTATGCCCAACGCGCATCAAACATTGTCCTCGGCTCTCCCGAGTCCTCTCTGACTTTGGTCGTGGATGCCATCGACGCCCTGACTCAGCTTTTGATTGCTAGTCTGGCAGAGGACCAATACGGTCGGGTCCAGGCCGATGTACCATCTGTGATTCGTCTCTTCACAGAAACAATCGTGACTTTGGAACTTTTTGTTCACCAAGGTGGACTGGATGCACACTGGACTGACGTATACTTCCCACCATCCAGCAAGCCCGAAGCTCAAGAAGAAGCACGAAAGGTTCCAGACATCGAACTCCTGGTCGCTTCGCTGAAGAATGGTCTTGGAGACTTGTTGAGCTCTTTCAAGCCTTACCTCCGTGATATCGGCATTGAGGGTAGAGACCTCCGACTCGCAAAAGAAGCGGCTGGTGTCGATGCGGAGGAAGATTTGTTATGATCTACGACACACTTGTCTTAATCCATCATTTGTACTCAAGCGGCGACAGGTTCTGACTGATCGTCTAAGGTGTTGTTTCTATTTATTAGGGCTGACGGTGGACGAATGCATGGTTAGGCGTTTTTATTTCTTTTATTTCAACTCGACATTTGTCTCAGTCGTATTATAAGTAAATGTTTCAACTCGAATTAAAACATAAAAAAATTCAACTTGCGAGAAGTTGCGTAGATATTCCCAGGTTATGAATCGACCACGCAGTTTAGGGCCGGTCACATGACAACATCGCGATATCGTCGACCGCGACCCCAAAGTTGTTTTCCTGTCAACAGCAGGAGTCATTGCAAAGCAGCTAAGACTCAAATTCTGTGTCGACTGTGGCTACTCCCTCAAAGATGTCACTAACGAACATTTATCACCTGCGGCGGGTTGCAGATACCTCCTCGAAAGCATGCCTGATCTGCTACAAGCCGTCAACCAGCGTTCTCATCACGCCCGATAACAAGGTATTTTACGCTCCCAATATAGTGGAAATAACTATATGCCGCACATGGAATAATGTCGTCTACTAGAGCTTGGTAGCATATGCATTTGGTCGCTAATCGCCCCCTCAGGACTTCTTCTACGTGTGCCCCGCACATCTTCAAGACCGCCATTTCTGCTCAGCGATAGTCGACACAGATGGTGAGGCAGCGCGCGAAAAGGATAAGAAAATGGCGGAGGAAATCGAGAAAGTGAAGAAAGAATATGAGGAGAAGCGGAAACGGAAAAAGGAAAAGAAGTCCGATAAAGACGACAAGGACAAGGAAAAAGAGAAAGATGAGAAGAAAGGGGACTCCAAAGACTCGAATTCCAACGATGAGAAAGAAAGAGATGACAAGGTATTTTGTGGATTAATTTTCGATATGGCATATTGTTTCTCAGTAAACTGATTGTCGCTTGTCTGCCAGATCGAGTCGATCAAGAAAGGTGATTCGGAATCAAAACGGGCTGATTCTCCGCGGGTATTCGCTTTGCATAAGTGAGTTTGCTACTAGTACGGCTTTGTGATTACTATGGGATGAGGACTGATGATATCTAGGACCTTTTATCAGATGCGTATTGATAGACTACGAGGCATCGAATTGGCCAAGCGGAACCAAGAAAGGATGAAGAATCCGGCTCTGTTCCCATCTGTTCCTAAGAAAGATCTTTAGGATCCGGGATAAGATAAACATCGTCACTCCAGGGCTATATACCTAGATATCTTCGAATGGAGCTTGAAGTCAAGAAGGACTAGCCCGGTCCGACCACACTGATATCAGAGGAGTTGGGAACTTTGAACTTCAAAACGCTTGTATCCGCTTTGAGGGAATCTTCAAGTTCCCAGGCTTTTAATATTTATTGACATCTGTTCTTCCTATTAGCATACTAGATGGTAGCTACGACTTCAAGTTCGACTTGTCAAATACAGACAACTTGAACTCGAAATCAACTTTTCACAATAGTCTACTATCAATTGCGCCCGTATTCCTCCGGGGCTGGCAATGATACGTCCAAGTCCTACCAGTAGTATTTTCCCTAACGAATAAACATCTACCAGCAGGGCCATACTATCCCCCCCACAACAACTTAGAACCCTGACACCAAGCAGCCCGCCTGAAAGACGGCGACCTCAGGAGGCAATGTGCGAGGACCCATGCCAAATAACAAAGCATCCTTGCGTTCGATGCAGACTATTCCTTCGCCGGAATGTCTTGTTTCTTGGATTAATTGAGCATAGGGGCATTGAGCAGAAAATCAAATTCAATGCACAAACAAAGATCGACGTTGAAAGATTGCTCTAACACTACATAACACTGTACGACCATGTCCTACCGTAGAACGCCCTGCAAAGAAACCTCACACACGATGGCAGACTCGCACAACGATTTAGCAGAATGAATCGACCAGGTTCCGAATCCTGCAGGAATGATAGCCACAAGCCAATACCCTACCGTTGGGCAGAGAAAGAATTCAAGGAAAAATCGAACTCTATGCATGTGTTGACACTTCATCGCCCTGCCCATCACACCCCTCCTCCATCCTTCCATCCCATCCTTCCCCCCGCCTTCAATGTATGTCCCATGTACACGACCCAATCCGTCCGGCAAGGCCGCCCACGCCCCGGGCCGCCTGCATGGATTGCATAACGACATGTCACGTCAACTGATCTGATTATCCGGGAAATACGGCGCGACTACCGGGCGTCCTGCAATCTTTCGCGCATCGCAGGATGGTCTGTGCTGACCTGACCTGACCGTGCTCAAAAGCTCTAACTCTGTCCTCCTCTGTCTGCCCTCCTCTCTCCTTGCGCTGTAGGACTACATCACAGGTGTGCACGGGTGGGGTGCATCGGGAAAATAAGCACTAGGGTAGTATCCGACAGGCGAAAATATGACCCCCCGCTTTCTTGCATTGCGAAACGATCCCCTCTCGTCCCCTGTCAGCCTTAGTGGGCTGGGTTGTAGGGTCCGTTGTACGTTTTCGGGTTTCGGTTAGTGTAGGGTTGTGGCGTGGGTTTTTTGCATCCTTCCATTCAATGATGATCTTCAGGGTTCTGGAAGTTTTGGAGTGTTGGTTGCCTTACGTACCGATTCTTTGATGATGCGGCTCCTTCGGATGAATGGGTCTATTTATACGCAGTACGAGTGAGATGAGCACGAACAGACCATAATACCGAGTTTTATAGGTCAGATTGCAATTCGAGTGGATTCCGATGAAGGGACTAAACGACTAGTAGGACGCAGGTCATTCTCGCGGCCTAGCCTAAGCTCGCTTGCGTACTCTAAGCTATCAGTTGCCTGATCGAAACCTACTGGCAGGTGCTGCTAGTATATCTTACTTATCAAGGTAGGTATGATGTCGCCGGGAATGCTATCAACTTTGGAGCCTTAGAAGGCAGCGGTGAGAATAGACAACAGGCTAGCCAAATCTAGCATTGTTATATATAGATAGTAATTCTAGTATTCGTGTAGACTAGTATCAATCCATTCTTAAGCCCGAGTCTCATGAGGCTCCGCGGAATTTCCGGTTGCCTAACAATAGGCCGATCAGCCGTTAGTAGTAGTGTATAACGATTGAAGTTAGTTAACGTCAAAGACCAAACTTGAACGCATCTTCCAAGGTTGGAACCCCCAATCTTGAGCCTCGGTTAAAGAGTCAGATATGTTACCTAGCAGGCAGCAGATGCGGCTAGTACCGAACAAGACTTGAACTAGTCGACTTAGCGTACCCGATAGTGGCAGGAAACTGGAACCTGATAACTACCAACGAACGATCAAAATTGTGGCTATCGTGCACAAACACACATGTAGTCCATCTTGGCGCAATACGTATACTTCTGGAGTCCTTCGGCTGCATGCCCGCCAAGCAAAATCGGTGGCTAGTATACGGGATTTCTGACAGGCAGATCCCAAGGCTGAGACTTGGGGCGAATGACTTGAGCTCCTGACAACTACTAGTAGCTTATCTGCATTACAGAAAAAAAAAAAAGCGGCTATACACTTGTGGTAGTGCAGCCGGACATCAACATAAAAACTTGAACCGGACCAGCTGTCCATTATCGAATCTGGTGATCGCGCTAGTCCCACCAAGACTAACCCAGTCGCGAAACAGGCTAAGCACCAAGAAAACTGTCACATATGCAAGGCGATCACAAACGCCTTAATAGGAAAGGGGGGCGGCCTTGGAAGGGCGGAAGTCTATTTAATTAGCGCCCTCTGATCTGAAAGATGGAATGGGAGGGTAATGTACGGAGTACATAGAAAAGCTATGATATCAGCGTTAGCCATCACCGCGCCATTGTCAGCACATCCAGTATGCGCGCGACTCCACTAGAAGAGCTGAGAAGCTCCCCCCCCCTGCAAGGCAGTGCACTGCCCCACCCCCACTAGGGTAGAGATAGCGCCAATGAGCGGTGGCTGTAGGGCGAGTCTGTTTTGTAGCTTGCTGGGCTCTGGGGGTTCTGGTCGCATTCCAGGGCTGATGATGGGCCACTTGAACGGGACCCCGGGTGCAAGTGGCCCCTCTGCCAAAACCCGACGAAGTGCCCTGGTCCCTGATTCACCGGTCTTACCTTGAATTGAGTAGTTGCATAGTGGTCGGATGCGAAGGGAGTATTGTAGTCTTCTATTTGGTTGTTCTAGTTTTCTTACTTCAGGTAGTGTAGGATGCACGCCCCGGGGGCTGCAATGATTTCTATCTATAGACCTAAACCCTTGACTACCAACCTGTCCCGTCGTTGCCCAAGATACGGCATTTGCAACCCATGAATCCTACCCAGGCACAGACATGGGATAGGCATGGACACAGACACTCGAGACGACGAAGAAGAATAACAAGTAAAATACGAAATAAAGAAGGAAATGGAAACGAATGTAGTCGGGTTTCCGGAATTAGACAAAAAAAAATGAAATAAAATAGAATAAAATAAAAAGAACCACATCAGGCACAGGTCCAGCCAGGCACCGCACCAGCAAAGTACAGCATCGAACGCTCATGTTCATGCTCAGTGCTCATGCTTCGCCCTACGGTATGATAACGAGGGAATACAGTGTAATACAAATACCGCCTTGAATGAAGGTGAATTCAGCCCTAAACCAATCGGGAGCATCAGGAAGGCTGACCCGCTTTGCACAGCCTCCTTCATGTTTTCTCAACCTTGGAAAGTCTCCCTCCCTGAAGGGGCAATTAATCACCGTTTCCTTCCATCCCCTTCGTCATTGGCGTTTCGCCGATCCCTGATGAAACAATCTTCATGCGCTTGAAGAGGTGGAGAAAACGCAAAGTCTCTCTCTGCAGTATGGAGTACATCGTCAGGGGAAGACAAGAGTACGAGAAACAGCGGAGCGAGCGAGGGTGATTGAGGAAAGGTGGGGAGTGGCGGCTGACGAACAGCATTACGCCGGGGTCAATTTGCACCCGGCGATTTTCTCATGTTTGGTCGCTTGGCGCGCGACTAAGGATTGCCTGGGGGCCGGGGT